ATGGGGGCCCTGGGGGCCCAGCCGCCGCCTCCTGGGACCCGCAGCGAGCTGTCCTCTCCCCCCAGGCTCATCAACAAGCTCCAGCCGGGCTCCGTGAAGAAGGTCAACGAGTCCTCGCTCAACTGGCCGCAGGTAACCCCCCCTCAGGGCAGGTAACACCCCCTCAGGGCAGGTAACACCCCCTGAGGGCAGGTAACACCCCTCTCAGGGGTCACTTTTTTTTTTAAAGATAAATCAAGTGGGGAGCTTATAGGTGTTTCCTACTTCACCACAATTTCCTTTTTATATATATATTTTTTATTCACTTCAGAGAAGAAGGGAGAGGAAGAGAGAGAGAAACATCCATGATGAGAGAGAATCATGGATCAGCTGCCTCCTGCACACCCCACACGGGGGATGGAGCCCACAACCCGGGCCTGTGCCCTGACCGGGAATCCAACCCTGACCTCCTAGTTCATAGGTCGACGCTCAGCCACTGAGCCACGCCGGCCGGGCCAGGTGGTCACTCTTTAGGCAGCAAAACTTGATTACGTTTTCAAAATAGACATTTTAGCAGAAGTCTGTGCACGGTGGCTGTGTTTTGTTGTTTTTAACGCTTCCGTGATTCCTTAGGATTAGCTCTGTGATTATGAGATGTTTCGTCTAGAAGTTTCCTTATATTTAGTCTCTTCTCAGAGAAGACGTGACAAGTTTACACAGAGACATGCCACCTAGACTAGGGGAGAAGCGGGCGGCCACAGCAGGAACTCCGTGTGACACACGGGAATGCCTGCGATTCAGTAAAACTGCACAGTTGAGTCTTCAGGGTGTGTTTTGATAGAGGAGAGAATAAGCATTTAGCAACCACAAATTTATATGTAAGTTAAAACCAAAACACGATGAATGGATTACGGACCTTTTGACAAAGAGCACGTCAGCCCTGGAAAACACGGGCACGGAATTCTTAAAATCACGTACGGAAGAGCATGTTTTTGCAAAACTAAAAAAAATATCCTTTAAAATTCCTAAAAAGGCCCGGCCGCGGGCTCAGTGGTGAGCGTCAACCTGTGACCCAGGAGGTCAGGGTTCCATTCCCGGTCAGGGCACAGGCCCGGGGTGCGGGCCGGGTCCCAGGAAAGACCAGTGCGTCTCCCACTGGGAAGGCCTCTCCTTCCCCTCGCTCCTCGCCCGGAGGAGCCGTGCCCCGAGGGAGCGGCCAGAGCCTCGCCCAGCAGCGGCCACGAGGACGCAGGGGTCTAGGTGACAGGGTCCCTCCCGCTGCCGGTGCCATGTGACCCTCTCCTTCCAGTTGGAGAACATCGGCAACTTCATCAAAGCCATCCAGGCGTACGGCATGAAGCCCCACGACATCTTCGAGGCCAACGACCTGTTCGAGAACGGGAACATGACCCAGGTGCAGACGACGCTGGTGGCGCTGGCCGGCCTGGTACGTCCGTGCCGTTGTGCAGGTTCTGCCGAGCGGGGATCGGGGACGAGCTGCTTCTTCGCTCCCCCAGTCCCCGGCCCCCGGGAGTTCAGACGGGCAGGGAGGGCCTGTCCCCTCCGTAATCGTTCGCTCTGTGGGAGGCTGCTGAGCCCATCAGACGCTCACACGCCTGAGGCCTGAGGTCCCAGGTGTGGCAGCGACGGCCTCGCCTGGGCTTCCCGGCCCCGTGTGGGCCGCGCCGGAGGCCTTCACCCGTGGGTAGACCTTCGGCCAAGCTCGGCCGGCGGGCTCAGGGGCTGTGTGTGCGTTTCCGTCCAGGCGAAAACCAAAGGCTTCCACACCACCATCGACATCGGCGTGAAGTACGCCGAGAAGCAGACGCGGCGCTTCGACGAAGGGAAGCTGAAGGCCGGCCAGAGCGTCATTGGTCTGCAGGTGAGGGGCGGGGGGGGAGTTCAATTGCACACACCCCCGCCAGCGAGGTGGCCGCCAGCGCAGGAACACAGACCTCGTGCAGGTTGGGGGGGATGTGGGTTACAGTCCGTGTCCACGTAAAGCCGCGGGATGCTGGTGACGGCTGAGAGGAGACCCCGGCACGTCATCTGACCACAGACGTGGCCGCGGGCGATGACCCTTCCCTACCTGCACTGCTTCTCTGAAGGGGATGCACTTTATGAACTCCCAGGCACCATGGGCCCATGAGGCAGTCTTACCGGACCTCAAGGCCGAGACGTCTACCCGGGGCAAGCGCTCGGGGTGTCGGCTCCGCTCCTGGGGAACCCCCAGCCGGGGTGTCTGCCCTTCCTCGGGGCCCTGGAGGGTGTCTTGGGGACACCCGGCCTGGGGCCCGGGGTGGGCTTGGCCCGGCACTGTCTGCCGCACGCCCCCTCCAGACGGTCGGTGTGAGGTGGGCCCGTAGCTGCAGGCACACAGGGTACCTGGGGAGAGACTGGAAACCTGTTTCCCAGGAGTCAGCTGGTTACGTGATGGCAGCTCCATCGGAGAAAGCGGTAATGTTAGCACGACAGGCGTCGGAGACGAGGCAGACACGTCTCTGGTCAGTTCATCCCTTTCTATTAGGAGCTGCACGTGCGTGTTGGGGTGTTTCCACGCGTGTGGGTTCACAGACAGGCGTACGCACCAGGGGAAGCTGGGAGGGGGCACCATGCTCACGGCAAACACCCGAGGGCGGGGTGTGACAGTCCCTTCCTCTCTGCTTATGCTCCGTGTGTTTCTGAATCTTTTCCAATGAATAGGCTTCACTTTTAGTAAAAAAAATGTTTCCTTTAATCGGGCTTGTTAAGGAAAAAAAGACCCAAGTGTAGAAACACGCCCATCCCGGCTGTCGTCCCTCGGCCACGCGGCCCTCACGGGGAAGGGAAGGGGAGGGAAGCTCGTTCCTGCGGCTCTGACCGTGGCGCTGCCCGCCTCGCTGTGCCCTCCGGGCTCTGTCCCGTGGACGCGGGGTTTGCAGGACCGCCCTGCGGCTCTTTCCCCATGAAAATGGGCCGTTGGGGGAAAGGTTGAAGCTGCACTTGTTCCACTGCAGAGAAAACACACCTGGGGCGAAAGCGTGCTGCCAGCCAGCGCCAGCCTCTGCCCCTCCCCTCCCGTCGCCGAGGCAGCCCCTGGCCTATGGGGAGGGAGGCGGCGGGGGGAGTTAATTTCTCATAGTCCAGCCTCTGTGGCAGCTTTGCGTCCGTCCGTCCCTCCTGCTGCGGTTTCTGTGCGGTTAACGGTGAGGCCTTTATAGCCCGTGAGTTGTTGGAATCCTTCCTGTAAACATGCCCTTCAGAGGGCGGAGGAGGCTGTGCCCTGAAGGCTGCGGCGTCCGGGAACTGACGCCGGTTTTATTTTGTAACTTAAAGATGGGGACCAACAAGTGCGCCAGCCAGGCGGGGATGACCGCCTACGGGACCAGGAGGCACCTGTACGACCCCAAAATGCAGACGGACAAGCCCTTTGACCAGACCACGATCAGCCTGCAGATGGGGACCAACAAAGGGGCCAGCCAGGTAAGGGGGCCGCGCCCCGCCGTCGGGCCCAGCGCAGAGCCGCTGCTGCGGGTGTGGGGCACGGACAGGAGGTTCCTTCCAGGAGGAGGTTTTGCTGGGAGAGCACAAGAGTGACAGGACCCCTTCTGCAGCCACACTGTGCGCGGCTCCTGCTCGGTTGGCGGTTAGAACAGCCGGCCTTCCTACCTTCCCAGCGGGAAACTGAAAGGCTACCAACCCCAAGCACATTGCTCTTCCAGTGCTCCGCCACTCACGTGTGTTTTTTTAAATTGATTTCAGAGAGAGGAAGGGAGAGAGAGAGAGGTAGAAGCATCAATCAATGATGAGAGAGAATCCTACTGGGGATGGAGCCCGCACCCCGGGCCTCTGCCCTGACCGGGAATCGAGCCGTGACCTCCTGGCTCAGAGGTTGACGCTCAGCCATGAGCCCCGCCGGCCCGGCCGCTATTGTCCCTTCTGCCCCCGCCCATCGCTTGTAACTGTTCCCGAGAGAGCAGTCCTGAGCCGCGGTAACCTCTGTCCTTGCCCCGTCCCAGGCGGGGATGCTGGCGCCGGGCACCCGGAGAGACATCTACGACCAGAAGCTCACGCTGCAGCCCGTGGACAGCTCGACCATCTCCCTGCAGATGGGCACCAACAAGGTCGCCTCGCAGAAGGGCATGAGCGTGTACGGGCTCGGGCGGCAGGTCTACGACCCCAAGTACTGCGCCGCCCCCACCGAGCCCGTCATCCGCAACGGCAGCCAGGGCACGGGCACCAATGGCTCGGAGGTCAGCGACAGCGACTCCCAGGCCGAGTACCCCGACGAGTACCACGGCGGGTACCCCGACGACGACCCCCGCGAGTACCAGTACGGCGACCCCGGCCTCGGCCTCGATTACTAGGCTCGGAGGCGCCGTCCTCCGTCGCGGTCACTCCGTGGGCGCCCGGCTAGCCCTGAGTGACGCTCTCCGCCCTTCTGAACCCTAGTGCGCTTCCTGTACCTGAAGGAGAGGCTGCCTCACACCCCCTCCTCCTCCGCCCGCCTCTCCCTCCGCAGCTCCTTTCCGCTGGGCAGGCCAGCCTGCAGCGACGTGACCCCCTGGCGCTGGAGCGAAGGGAGCCCTGGGGGGCGCGGGTTCCTCCCGACAGATCTCTGCATCCTCACACTCTTTACGGAACTGGTGTTCGCAAGCAATAGGAGGCTTCTCTCTTACATTAGTGTCTGGCTCCTCCGTGGGAGACTAAACCCGTGCTTAGCGCTCAGGCGCCCGCCAGCTAAACCGAGAAGACGCAGCGTGTCAGCCGCTCGCGACCGATGCCCGCGGTGTGGGTCGCGGGTGGAAATGCAGGCGCGGCCCTCGCTCTGGGGACGCCTGAGTCGCTCCCACCGGCGCGGGCGGCTCCATCGCTGCAGACGTGGGGGTCTGACTGCGCGGCCCTTCCTGTTGTGCCAACGTATCGGTGTAGACTCGCTCTGTTTCAACTGTATTTATTGCTGCATTTCTCAGCATAAACTTATCCCAGTGTATTTTTTATAAATAAATATTTTTTTTGAACATTCACATGAGCCAGCAGCTGGTTATGTTAAGGACTCCTCCCCAGGGTCTGTGGTCAGTCGCTGCCTTAACATTTCTCTCCTCAACCCTCACCACAGCGCACTCTGCTTGGGAGGGGCCGGCAGGATGGGGGCCCAGCAGGATGGGGGGC